TCTGCTCGCCACCAGAGGTCGCCTTCTGATTACATTGACTCTCACACCACACAAACTGTTGCACATCACCCTGGACTACATTTCCCATGCTCCATTGCACTGATTGGACTCACCTGCAGCCAATCACACACACTATATAACAACCACTCAAGTCCTTCTCTAATGGCCGAGTATTGTCTGCGTTTATCACTCTCCTAGTGGTAGCACTTTACGGAGCCAGTATCCTGTCCGAGTTTAGTCTAGTTCCTAGTTCTAGTCCTGTTTCGTAATGTCTAGTTTTGCCTGATTGTTTGTTCCTGATAACCTGCCTGTCTTGGATTTCTCTCTCGTCTTGTTGTTTGGATTCTGTTCGCACCTCGCCTGGATGAATATCTGTCTGTGGATTACTCGCCTGCCTCATCCTTTGGATTATGTTCGCCGTTGATCGACCTACACCTGTTTATTGGATCACTCTTCTGTCTTGTCCTCTAAATACCTGTTTGCCATTGTCCGACTCTTGCCGGTTTTGAATATGTTTAAGAATGAAGCTTTGCAGATGGATCCACATGTCACTCGTCTCAGTCGCCCCATTACAGTAATATACTGAGAGACCAGTGTGAATAGTTGGTAATCTGCTGTACGTCTAGTGTGAATACTTGGTAACTTGCTTGGTGTCTAGTGCGAGAATTTGGTAATCTACTGAGACTCCAGTTTGAATACTTGGTAATCTGCTGTACGTCTAGTACGATTACTTAGTAATCTTTGTAATCAAAAACTGCCTTTTTAAATTATTTTATACTGTTCTCTGAGGTCCCCTTATATCGTTATCAAGAATTTTACATAAAAAAAATCATAATTTAGAAGTAATAGGCTATTTTCTGTCCTGTTTTTGACCCCCCTCTGTTTGAATAGGTGTGGCAGATTGTAGATTCGGAAGTAAACGCCCACTGCTATGATTGGCTAATAGTTGTGTATGTTTAACAGCCTACGTCCTTCACAGATGGATGTTGCAGTGATTTAGATTTAAAATGCATAAATACTCATATCAAACTATTTGTAATAAAGCAATTGTGACCACATAATAAAAGGTTACTCACACTTATGAGATCTTGCATCGACTTGAGCTTTGTTTGTAAATGAATCCGCTGTAAAGTAAAGTGAACAAAGGATGACGTTCTTACTGATGCGGTCTTGATCTTCATTAAAATTAAAGTGAATCCACTCTTTCCCAATGTTGAGATCAGAAGGCAATGCGAAGACTTTTTCCAAAACTTGGCACCGGACAGTGTCTTGTCTCCAGAGCCATCTTTATCGTTTGGTTTCTGCATAGACCTGCGTATGCCACCCTCGTTATTTATACTGTGTGCGAATTGGTGGGCAGGGCTAAACAGGCAGTGCTGTAGAAGCAGGCGTTGATCTTCTTCTGCAGAGGCGGTGTTTAGCCACACTATTACATCATAAAGTGGCACATTTCACAACCTGTTGTTTTGG